CGGTGGTCAGCTGTAGGAGTGGTCTATTGACGCTTTGACCAACACATCAAAATTGGTGCTTGGAAGTGGATGGCTAGGATGTAGAAGATTGTGGGCCAGATGGTTTATGCCTCGGAAACTTAGTTTTCTTCCTCTGTGGCTCGTAGTAGCACTGAGTCAGGTATTGGGAGGTGCGTGGTTTGTGGTGAGGCTGCGGACTATATTTTCTCTTTTGTGCTGGCATGTAGATGCCCAGTGAGCAGAGAGTGGCCCTAGAATCCTTTAGTGTGTGAAGAGAGGCATCCATCTTCTCCGTGAAGAGCTTAGTGACTTCAAAGGGAAGGTCTTCAACATCAACTGCACCTCTTTCGGGCAACCTGACAGATATAGCCACCGCTGTGGAGATGGACCTGGCTGCTGTGTTGGCTGCATTGACAGCAGATTGTAGCACTATTTTGGTCACTAACTGTCCCTCTTGAATAATGGCTTTAAATTGGTCGTGGTGTGACTCAGGCAGCTGTTCAATAAAATTGTTCAGTTTTTAATAGTTTCTGTAGTCGTATTTCACTGATAGGGCTTGGTAATTGGCAATTCAAAACTGTAGCGTAGCCAAGGCCAAAAAGATCCAAACGCTTCCAGTCTCTATTGTAGGGAGTAGACCTCATCTGATGTTGATGGCCATGAGAGTTAATAGCATCCCTGTAGTGGGGCGGCTGCCCCACTCCCTGAGAGAGTGGGCTGCAGCAGGCCAGTGCGCCTGCACAGACAGGCAGCCAATTAGACAAGGGCTTATTGGGAGCCAATCGGGGCCCAGATTGGAGACAGCCAATCAGGGCCAGGCTCAGCCCTATAAAAAGGCTGCTCAGGGAGAGGAGAGGCAGTCTGTCCCAGGCCTTCGACAGGGGAAGGTCTGTCTCCAAAGGTGGGAGACTAGCACCTGGGACAGCGCTGGGCAGGCTCAGGGGAGCAGAAGGGAACTCCAGCTTGGTGTCTGCCAGGCTGCAGGCCTTGAGGGGAAGGGCCTAGCCGGTGTGAGGGGATGAAGGGGAAGCGGCCCAGGGATGTGGACAGACGGAGGGAGAGAAGGAGGGCAGGATGGCTGCCACTAGAGGGTCCCTGGGTTGGGACCCAGAGTAGTGGGCGGGCCTGGGTCCCCCCCTTCCCCCTTGCCTTACACCTGGCCGACGGGAGTGGCCGTCTTGAGCTGCACCAACCCCCTGCCAAGAGGGGTGTGACTTTGGGGGTGCAGTTGCCCACATTGGCCAGGGCACAGAGAGACAACTGATTGACCCCCCACCCCCGGAAGGGGGCGAGGATGGACTAAGGGGCACTGCCGGAGGGCAGTAGCTCGAAGAGGACGCCGCAAGTTGGGAGCAACGCGGGTCCACACGCCAACCGAGGGCAAGACGACAGATGGGACACCACCAGGAGGGAGTGCTCCGCTGGACTGAGCTAATTCCTGAGGGCGACCAGCGTGGGGGCTGGGTGGTGAGTCCCAACACTGTTACAATCCCCCATGATGGAATTGGGTGGAGGGTGGAGAAGAGGAATTCTGTCTCCCTTGGTGGGATATAATATTTTTTGTCCACCTGCTTGCAGGTAGATGCCACTGATCCTGGGGTGTGCCATATGGTTTTTGTGGGGTCCAGGAGAGCCTCATTAATAGTGAGCGCAATTTTTGAGGACAAGGATGAATGGAGTATATCAAGGAGTTTGTGGTGGATGCCCTTGACTTCTTTTAGTGGTATCTGAAGAGTGTCTGCCACTCTCTTCACTGGGTCCTGGAAGAAGCAAAAATCATCAGCCAGAGAAGGCGGTGGAGGCATAAAGGCCTCATCTGGGGAGGAGGAGGAGGATATGGTTACCTCTTCCTCAGTGCTGCCCTCTGGTTTCACCACGATTTCTTCTGCAGGTACAGAAACTCTGGATGCTGCAGCTGAAGGGGTGCGTCTCGGGAGTTCTCGAGTGGGGCTAGAAGCTCGAGAGGCATGGAGGCAATATGCAGCCCAAGGGTCCCAGTATGGCCACTGGAGTGGTGGTGGCATAGAGTCCAGCGGTGGTGCCCATGGTTGACCGTACCAAGATGGTGGTGTTGGGGCCATCTGAGGATATGCTTAGGGACTCTGCTGGTATTGGAAACCATAGGGAGCCTTGGAGGAGTACTGCAATACTGCCTCCTCTGGTTTGTTGTCCGAGTCTGCAAGAGCAGCGGAGCATGGCAGGGCAGGGCAGCGGGGAAGACTCCTGTGCCAGATGAAGGCTCAGGGCAGAGGTCTTGGTACTGAGAAGAGGAGACTCCGGTATGTCGGCTACACGGAGATCCTTCAGTGCCACTGGTGGTACCGGGAAGGACGGAGATCTAGCTCACACCGATCTCTCTGGTGCTGCATGGGGCGTTGATGATGGTATCAATGGAGTATTGCATTCCAGTAACATCATCTTAGAGGAGTGCTTACTCCTGTCCTTGTCCCTTGGTGCCACTGACTCGATACCTGTGCCCATCGGATCCGTGGGTGCATCACTGGCACCTGCCGGTGTAGATCTTCGTAAGCCTTGGGTACTGGGCTGGGATTGTCTTGGTGCCAGTGGTATCGAGGATACCGAGCACGCCGGAGATCATTTATGGCTAGCTCGGGGCTCACCGTGGGGACTTCTGAGAGGGCTCAGTGGCTGGTTTCTTCAATCCACAGCCTTTGGATGTTGAGGGCTGTGGGGAAGACTCATGTCTGCCAGGTGGCTCTTGGTGCAGGTCCGGAAAGGGTCGGAGGGCTGCCTTCATGAAGATGATCTTCTGTCTCAGCTCCCTGTTCTTACGAGACCAGGGCCTGAGTTGCTGGCAGAGACCACACTTTTGTGGAATGTGGCCTTCCCTGAGGCAGCAAATGCACTGGGAGTGCTTGTCAGTGACATGGATCACATCTCTGCAGGAGATGCACTTCTTGAAGCCCAATGAGCTGGGCATACCCTTTTGGGGGAAGGGTCCCCAATGAGAAAAAGTGGCAAAAAATAAAGTCTCTTTTTTAAAAATATTTTTTCTGGGAGAAAAATAAGAAAGAAGCAGAAAACTACAACTACAACTATGTACTAGGAGACTAACTGGCTACAGAAATGTAAAGCGAGAGTAATGGTTGTAACGGACTGCGAATAGCTCCGTCTCTAGCCAGGGGCAGTTGAGAAGGAACTGAGGAGGGTTAGCCTGCACTCACTGGCTAGCCTCATGGCAGGGCATGAGGAGAGACAGCAGATGTGCTGGCTTAACGGACACAGCTACGGAAGTTCTCGGATCAGCAGTGCAGGGACGCAAGCACACTACAGTAGAGCACCCATAGGGACACTATTTGCAGTAGAGCATGAATTCCATGCTCTAACCATTAAACAGCACCATCCTCCATGCCGTAAAAGAATCCCACTGTCCAGGAGGGGGTAACAATGCAACCTACTTCAGCAGTTATCTGCACACATGTGCAGAGATCATTTGTTGAAGGCATCTGTAACTAAGAGAAAAGAGATGCACGACTGTTAATGCCACAAAAATAATGATCTTTTAACCCCAACTCCACCCTGAACTGTTCAGCTTGGCTTTCGTTTTCCAGGCGTTTGTACATTGTATCAATCACCCAAACGCACGCAGCCCGTCAATGCACAGGTTGTAGATATAAGAAATAAAGGGTTCACACATGAAAGACTCTTTTTCACTCAGCCAATAGGAAGCCTGAGGTCTGATCCCAGCCCTCACTGAAATAAACTAAGAGTCTTCCCATTGACTTCAACAGGAGCAAGATTAGGTCCCTGCTTATCACCAGTAGCTCTTTTTCCTCAATTAAATCAGAATGCATTGGCTATAGAAATTCTATTCCTGTCTGTCATCCCACACTCCCTTTACTGCCCCACCCTTGCAAAGAAGGCTGGTTTGCCAGGACACTTGGGGCTACATCCTCAGCTGGTGCAATGGACTTCAATGGAATCATGCCCCCTTATACCAGAAGAGGATCTGGCCCACAGCATGTAGCTGAAGATACATGGGAACCAGCTCCACCCAGCACCTGTGACAAGCCATCTGGTGGCCATTGTTCACCACCCTGGGCAGGCTCTGTCCCAGAGGAGGATTCGGAATCCAAAAGAAATTACTGCCAGGTCTATTAAACTAACCCTTGAACGCCGAGGCCTCACTTCTTGGAATAGGAATTCATTGCTCCAGTAACAAGCTTGGTCGTATGGTCGATATGGGATTATTACATCCATTCAACACACATTCCTTGGTTCAGTGATTACACCCTTATACTGCTGTGACATTAAGGGGGGGTCACTGCTGGAACGTGATTTTCAAAAATAGTTTTAAACACTCTCCCCTTGCTTGCAATACCCTGTTAAAAACCTGGAAATCACATTTAACTCCCTTCTGGATTTGCCCTTTTCCATTTGGAAAACATTGATTTTTTTTTCTTAACTTGAGCCAAGATTAATGTGTCTTGTTTGTTTGACAACAATTTCAAACTATCTGGTACCTTGTCAAGCCAAAATAATTCGGTCTGTGGACCAATATCACTGATGGGTGTAGACAAGTAGGCCCTACAAAACAATAGCTATTATTGTTTGGACATTTTTCAGATTAAATTTCTTGGTGAGGGTTTAATTTAAAATATTTAGAACCTGGAGGATTTTATCCACCAGATTATAACAGTTTTGAGGCGGGTCTAATTTGGAGTCTACAAACCTGGATTTTGCCCCTCTATATCAGCTAAATATTACAGAAAAAGGCTTGTTTGTAATTTAATTTTTTTTTAAGATTGGAAAGGGGGGAAAACAGAAGAAAAGGGGGAATGAGGAAACCAAGTAAATGAAAACCATTCCCTCCTCAATCAAGTGCTGATAGCAGGCCACATGGGCTGCAAAGTTTAGAGTGACCTCACATCCTATTCTAGTCTCTTTGCACTGTTATGCTGTCTCCAAACATTTCTCCCCCCAAACTCCTTCCCTTCCATTTCCCTTCTGACTCCCTGGCAAAAGTCAATAATACCTACAAATATTTTTTATTTTCATAAACGTCATGCAGCTTTAAAACGTGGGGGTGTTCTATCAACTTCAGGATGGCTATTTCCCGCTCCACCTGGAAGAGAAAAGAGAAATAGAAGCGAAGGTTAGAAGGTTACATAAGAAATCATAACACACATTGTCCCCTCTTACCCATTTCCCACTCCTTCTGACCCTCCCTTTCATGCACCAACGAGCAAACAAGCAGAAGCTATAATAATAGCACTTAGCATTTATACTGCACTTTAGAAAACATTAATTCAGCCTCACCATCCCCTCCCCTATAAAAGTTGGTAAATAATACTATCCCTATTTCACTAATAGGGAAACTGAGGCAAAGGATTAAGTGGCATGCCCGATCGGACAGAGGTAGGCATTTGCAGAACCTGGCACAGAATGCAGGAGGTTCCTGGCTCACAGTCCTATGCTCATGCCAGGCCTCTCAAACAACAGAAGGTCTAACCCATCATCCCAACTCCAACTGACTTCAGTGGGCCTTGGATGGGCCCCATTGTGCTAGGCATTGTACATACACAAAGTAGGAGAGAGTCAGGGCCCACAGAGATTACAGTCTAAACAGAGAAGACAGTGGGAGAAAGGAAGTACTAGCATTTTACAGCAGGTGAAGTGAGACACAGAAAGAGCAAGGGATTTTCCCAGTGTTACACAAGAAGTCTATGGCAGACCCAGGAACTGACCACAGATTTCTGGAGACCCAGTCCAGTGTCTTAATCACAAAACCATCTTCTCTCTTAATCCTCGACCTATCCAAAACATGGCGACTCTGAGGACTTGTCTTCAATGCAGAGTTAACTGCAGTTATAAATCGAGCGTTGCCCCCAACTTGAGTCCTGACCACACACACAAACTTTAACTCAAATGTGATGGTGCTTTTAAATAGAGTTGGTTGGCCCCTTGGGAGTAAAAGCTGCAGCTCAAGTTAGCACAACTCATCAACAGCTAATACATTCACCCTGTGCTGCTAATACAATCACTCTGTGTTGCTCGATAGTTATATCGCAGTGTGACCGCTCTCACTCCAGATAGGCTAACTGACGAGGAGTTAATTAACCCACAGTGAGTGTTTGTGGTGAGTGTAGATAACTCTAGTTAACTCTGCCGTGAAGAGATAGCCTAAGGCAGGCAGTGTACAGGCAAAACCAGGCAATATATATAGGTGCAAGACCAGTTTTCAAAAGTCCACCAGGGCAGGATTAGCCAACCATCCAAAAGATGGATGGAATCTAGCTAGACTTCCTCCCCGCCCCCCCCCCCCCAAATACTGTAACTGGTTACCCTGCAGCCGTCATCTTCACAATCAAAACACACTGCAATGCTGTGCCAGAGCATCAATCCCCTAATAACCTGACAATCCCCCAGGAACTTCTCCCCACGTAGCTTTATTTCTTAGTGCCCCTTAACTTGCTGAGTATGTTCCTCCACCAACCATTAAGCACAGAACTTCTCCTCCTGACAGGCAGGTAGAGCTTTCTGCATGGCACTTTGGGAGCTGTAGTTCTCAAGCCTTAGTGATGAGGTCATGTCTCCCAGAGAGAAACCAGTGAAACTCTCAGCCTTTCTCACATTGGAAGAAAGGGTACATGTGCCCCTGGGACAGTCCCTTTCTGATTCTTTCAAGGTGTTTATTCTTCTCTGTAGAATCAGAAGCCACCTGATAGATCCACTTCCACACTTGTGATCTCAGGAAGTATCTATTTCATAGCTGGGGTGGGGGGAGATATATTAGCAGGCTGCAATGGAATCAATGACATTCCACAAGAGAGAGAGACACACACACACACACACACACACACACACACACACACACACACACA